GATACTTTCATAAATTTGCTTGAAAAACAAATTAAAACATGTACACACATGTAAGATTAAAACATATAATTCTCACAAGTAATTTGCTTTTTAACTTTTACGCGACGTGTGTACACCAAAAAAAAGAGCTAGTTAGTATGTAAATGTTAATATTAGCGATTATTAATCCGAATATTTTTGCGTATAATCGTTTAATTACACTCTGGTACGAGATTGTCGCGGTATATATTTTCTAATTTATGCTAAAACAATTCGCCAGAAACGCGATGGTGAATTAATTTTGAACACAGCCGTGCTTTCAATATCTGGCAAAGTACCATATGTTAACGCGAGCAGAGCGAAAGACCATAGGTAATGTGCACAGCTACGAGCCAAGAGATACTGGGGTTGACCTTTATCCTCCGGAACGCATGGCTGAGTCAGCTTTGCGGCTTCAATAAATAATGTAATAGTTATACACAAAAAAAGTAAACGTAATCTTAACGAAAAGAGTATTTAATAGACGGCACATTTATATAATGAGAAATATACGCTCACGTTTTCTTGGCAAAACTATCGCAAATAGATTCTGTTATGATTCAATGAATAAGTTATCGTTGAATATCTTGAAGCAAATGTAATTGGAAAACTTGGACATTCCGCAAGACATATTAATGACGTATAAGTATGGTATTTTAGTAATTTAAGGCACTCACCGGACAAACAATTACAGATTTTGATTTAGGTAAAATTATTTACGTGTATTTATCGTTAAATGATTCCTCGCTAATTCCAATGGAATGCCGAGTCGAAAGTAGGACGCAGCCTGTACCCTTTCCGCGAGATCTTTCAACGACCGGAAACCGGATGCGGGGAGAAGCTCGAGACGAGGCGAAAGCTCGAAAGTACCGTCGACAGCCGCTAATAACCGTAACGACCTCTGAGGCATAACAAAGTGGGTCTAAGGGTGACACAGCGGGGATAAAGGTTGTGGGGGTTGCGAGGGGATGTCCGCCCCTGGACGGCATTACTCTCGCGCGTGCCTCCTTGAGACAAAGTTCTCTGTAACTTCCCTGCCTCGCTTGACCCTCGCGTTTGCCAAGAATTACAAGTCAAAAATGTGCTCCGTCACAATTAATAAGTGACTGACACGTGATGGAACGATAGTTAATAAAAGTTTTACGTGTACCCGACAATACTTATTCCTAACTACTTACTCCGACTATAAATCGCAATAACAATCTTGAATGAACAAGAGTTCAACTATTTGCTTCGTTCAAGTTATTACACTCTTAACTAAACATTATTGAAAATTTTGACACTAAATTTGTAGACGAAAGTCCCCTATTATGAGATAGGCTTAACATAGTTGAATTACAGTTGAATGATGTTATTCTTTTAAGTTTTGAATTCCATCTTGAATCCGCTATTTTGAATTACGAAAATCTAGCAACGGATTCGTAATCAGCGACCCCAAAAATCCCCCGTATATAAAGTTTCGCAAAAAAATGGTTCAATAGACAAATGTATGCTTCAAAAGGGTTAATATGATTTTTAATAATTTAACAAAAACCGCGCCATCCCGTAGTACAATCCTATCGCATAATAGGGGACTGTCCTCTACACGTTTATGTGGACAAAATTCGAACATAAGGAACATAAATATATTTTACGGTAAGAAACCATATCGATAATGATTGCTATATCGAAATGACTATTCCTTTCTCTCGTACGTGCTTCGCAGACTACCGCATGCTTTGTCACCGTTATCGGTCAGTCTTCGGACAATGCGAAAAGACGATAAAGGAATGATAGAGATTTATCCACCTTCAATATCCGTGGCCGTCCGTGATTGCATCCAAGTGCTGTTAGCTGATGTTGGAGGAGCAGCGAGAGTTTTATGTACGGCGTGATCTTCGTTTGCGAGGTGTCAGAGAACACGACTTACCGTTACGTGCTCCTATTTGAAAACACTTTCTAAGCCGGAAACTCGAGACTAACAATAAGTAGGATATTCGCAAACACAAATTGGTTACGTTGGGTGGCTTAAAGTAGCTTACAGAATAATAGTGGAAAATATAATACGTCTGTTTATTGTTAGATAGACGCGACGTAATGTCTCGCTGAGCTACGTAAGCTGTTAACAATATTTGACATTATTATAAAATTGCGCGTAGACGTACAAATGGCGAGTGTAACTTACAATTACAGTATTTCTTAATAAGAAACGAAAAAGGCATTCCTGAACAGGGGATGCATCTTGTGGGTTTAAAGCCGCGTCAAATGTCAAATTTAATCTGACCGCAGGTTAAACTGTGATGTATGCGCATTCGTGTATGACAATCATTATAAATTATTGATTATACATAATAATATCGGCTAATATTTTATTAGTCATTCATATTGATCGTATACATATATTATATGTATACCAATCAACGATTACTCGTATCTAAATTGCTCTTATAAATTAATATATAAAAAGTTCAGATTGGGACATCAAATAAATAAAAAAAATTAATTTCCAAAGTAGTCGTCAGAATAGCACGAGTTTCAAGGAAACGATATATATTTTTTGAGAAATAAATGCGCGAGGAAGAGCATCGCTGCCGTACGTGCAATATTATTAAAGTGCAATAAGAAGAAAAAAATGCCAATAAATTCCACCCCAATCTCCTCTGACCAAACATACGGGAGCCCTCAGATATCTCTCAAATAATATCTGATTCGCAGTCGACAGACCCAATGGAGAAAAGGCTCGGAGAAGATAGATCTAAGAGACCAGAGGCATGGAGTACAGATATATGCGCCATCGATTATTTCGCGCAAGTTACTTCGAGGGGCGAACGAGGCTGTCCCGTAGATCTAGAGCACACCCGATAGATTTCCCCTCATTTGTATTCAAACCCGATTGATTTTAACGCGGAGAATCCCGTGGCAGAATCACGTCTCGTTGCGCCAATCGGTCCCGACCTTGTAGAATCCGGCGAGCCCTCATTGTTCGACGCGTAACCGAGTCACCTGGCGTGTCTCTCGAGGCGGAGGATCGCCCGTTCGGCACCGAGCCGCCTGTTCGCCGCGGCGTGATCCTCCGGAAAGAGTAGTCGATGCCGAACTGGCCGAGGGCTGGCGCACGTACGCCGCGCGACGGACGGCTGGAATCCGTCCGGGTGACACCCGTTATACGTGCATTCGTAACGTGGAGTTGTGGAGTCGGCTCTCCGATATCGAGCGGGAGGCCCGGCGAGGGGTTGCTCGCACGTGCGCAGGCTCCCACCTCCACGACCTACCACCTCCATCGCGGATACGTGTCGGAGGTGGAACGCGCGGATGTCGCGGGCAAGTGGAAGAGAGAAGAATTCAGGGCGGCGAGCCGCCACGGAGCGAGATGGACGACGTACGAGGAGCGATTTCGGCGGGGTTGGAATTGGGTGGGCCACCACGGATGTCGGTTGGTGCAAAAGAGAGGAGCGCGGGGTGACGCGGCCGGTGCGGAGCGAGGGTGCAGAAGGCTTCTTCCTGCACGGGAAAGGGAGAGTTGAGGATCTATCTCGCGCGAAGGGAGATAAACGATGTCAGGGGATAAAGAGAGGGAAAAGGAACGAGGGTAAACGAGAGGAAAACATAGGGTGGAGAATGCCGAACGGCGGACGGAGGAGGCGGCTAACGGAGAGCAGCGGTCTCTCGCAAAAGGCTGGGCGCCTCGGTGGGAAAAGCGAGTGATACAGCCGACGAGAGAGAAGGACAGAGGAGCCGCGAGTAATCGTTAGTGCAACGAGGATAAACGCGAGGCGCTGTAAAACCGATACCAAACGAAAAAGGAGCAAGCGAGAGGGAGAGGCTCCGGCTATTATAAAGAGGGTCGAAAGAGGAGTCGGTGGTAAATGAGACAGGGAATGGAAGACGATCGAAAGAGCGAAGGAGAGGTCTTGGTGGCGAACGGAGGAGGCCGAAGGAAGGAACACGGTGGGAGAAAGAGATAGAAGGAGGGAGTCGGGAGTGCGACGTCGGTGGATGCAAGAGAGGGGCAGAGAGTGAAACGAGAGAGAGGAACGGAACGGAACAGGGTTGTTCCAGTGTGCAGCGGGCGGGCATCGCGGCGGGGGCGCCGTTCTGCTGCTCCTGTATATCCATCCAGGGTTATATGCACCATCCATTGCATCCTAGCGACCACGACGGCGACGACGACGACGACGACGACGGCGACGACGACGACGACGACGACGACGACGGCGACGACAACGACGGCGACGGCGGCGGCGGCGGCGGCGGCGACGGCGACGACGACGACGACGGCGACGGCGGCGACGACGACGGCGACGACGACGGCGACGGCGACGGCGACGGCGACGGCGACGACGGCGACGACGACGGCGACGACGACGACGGCGACGGCGACGACGACGACGACGCCGACGCCGCCGGGAAGCAAAAGGATATCAGTCGCGTCGAATACCCGAGCCTGTTCGTAGTAGCGGCGTACACCAGCATTAGTCGTAGTAGTAGTAATAACCGTAGTACACGTCGCGGACTAATCTCGCCGTCGGTCTGCACATGGTGAACATCTAGTGAAATAGCTCAGCGAGACAAGAGCACAGCAAGGAGAAAGAGGAGGACGCAGTGCGGGAAACGGAGCAAAGGGAAAGAGCTGGTGGAGGACCGAGTACCGCGGTCGCACGCAGGGTAGGTCCATCCAGAGGGAGGCATCGGCAAGGAGCCGCTCCTCATCGCCACTCCAGCATGACCCAGCCTTAGTACGGCTCTCCTGTCGTACACCCTCCGCGGCGCGACACGATACGACACGTAGAAGAAGGTGGTGGAGGAGTCGGAGGTGGTGCTGGCGGCGGAGGAGAAAGAGGGGGCGGCGGGGGCCAGGGAGAGGGTGGAGGACGCCGAGGAGGACGGAGAAGAAGAAGAAGAAGGTGGCGAAGGAGGAGGAGGAGGACGGAGGCCTTGCTAACGACGGCGATCGTCCTCGAGGGTGCGAACCACCAACAGCAGCACCACCGCCGACGACGACGATGATCGTGACGGGCGGTGATCGGCGTACATGTTGGAGGCGGAGGCGCCGATTGGCGTTGGTGACCCTACTCTCCGCGATCTTGGCGTTCGCGATCGGCCCGTCGTCGTCTTCGGGCCACAGACCGGCGCCGAACAAATCGACCATATTTCACACCACCACGAGCAGCACAACCATGACCTTTCTAGTGCGATTGAGCAACGGTACCAGCGTGCAAGTGTACGACAGCAAGAACAGCGGTGTTAACGTTGCGGGCCTCGACGGGCACAATAGGACTAACGATAACGATACGGACGTCAAGAGGCCGCTCTTCCCCGAAGATCTGTTCACCACCGAACAACGGCGCCGCGGTGCCGTGATACTCCACATACTCGGCGTGGTGTACATGTTCGTCGCGTTGGCGATCGTTTGCGACGAGTTCTTCGTACCGTCGCTAGACGTCATCATCGAGAAGCTCGACATCGCCGACGACGTGGCCGGTGCTACTTTCATGGCGGCCGGTGGATCGGCGCCCGAACTCTTCACATCGATCATAGGCGTGTTCGTGTCGTTCGACGATGTCGGTATCGGCACCATCGTCGGCTCCGCCGTCTTCAACATCCTCTTTGTGATCGGCATGTGCGCTATATTCTCGCGTACCGTGCTGTCGCTCACGTGGTGGCCTCTATTTCGCGATTGCACTTTCTATAGCGCCAGTCTGCTCACCCTGATCTACTTCTTCCGCGACAGTTACATATATTGGTACGAGGCACTTGTGCTCTTTTGTTTCTACTTGGGATATGTGAGCTTCATGAAGTGGAACCAGCCGGTCGAGAAAATGGTCAAAAGGGTGCTCTACAGGAATAAAGTGACCCGGGTCAGGTCTACCGATCAGCTGATGCCCTCGGTATGTACGGAATGTATACTCCGAGCCGTACACCGCGATCTAGGAAAACGTCTGACCCTGTCTTTGTCTACTTTTACACCGATCGATCAGTCTGTCTTGTTCTATCGTTTCCCCTCTCGCTCTATCCCCGCGTGTAGCGTCATCTCTTTTCATCCATCAACCCCCTTCGTACGGATACATGTCACTGCTGTACCGCCGCCTCTCTGTCTACACGCGCTTTCCCTCTCCGTCTATCTATCCGTCTATTTCCCTCTACCCTTTCTCTATACTTTTCCCCGATTTCCCTACCCCCGCCCCTCCCCCCCTCCCACCCCCAACTCGTCCATTTTACCCCTTTACGTACACATACTTGCACAACTCTCTCCCTCTCTATCCCATTATACGCTACCGTGACTTTATATTTCATGGAGGAGCATAGAGCGTCGCGTGACTTCCACTACTCGCACGACTGCTCGTGGGCGGTGTTTTGTCTCGTGGACGGACATTGCCACGTTTACTTTCCCCTCCCCCCCCCTCGCGGTTTTTTCATTTTGCATCTCGAGATAAGACCAGCCGACAAACCTTGAGAGCGCAGCGTGGTCAAGACACGCGACCTTGACCAAATCGGAACTTGTATGACAAATGGATACGGCCAAACCGCGCCTGATTCAGCCCCGGCAGCGAGTTTCTCTTCCGTGCGTTCTATTTTACGGTTAATAAATAAATTGACAAATCGCGCCATCCGAAATCCGAACGGTACGAACGGGCCCTAAATTACGGGGAGCACATCTCTCAACGGCATTACGTAAGAGCGCACGAGGGAGATATATAATTATTAGCGAGCTTTGCACAAACTTGGCACTTTGCTGGCGCAAGTTTTCGAAAAGAAACTGATAATCCAAAGTGCAATTTTGAATCGCATCAATCATAGTTTGAGACACACGGCCTGCTTACCTCTCGCATGTAGGCCAAGGGAAAGATATCGAGATATATCGATTACGTTGCACTAACGGTCCCCACAAAACACTTTCCTTCCCTCGGAGTTTATAGGATTTTGTACGCGATTACCAACGTAGATCCTTCTACCTTACTCAACCCATTTTGCAAAATTACTCATTCTTTTTCCATTTTCATGATAAACTGCACACACATACATGAGGGGGAAACCGCTGAGGGATTGTGGCGTACAGATTCGCGGCGTTACTAGGCATTTTTTGGGCATTAGGCCTTGCTGGGGCGTTGTAAAGATAAAATAAGATAATAAGATAAATGCCACATACACATATCCCGACAGTCGTGTAATCGTGGGACAACATGGCGTTTCGAAGAACCTTGAGACTTCGTTGAAACCGTACCATACTTTTTACTAGCAATTATACCTACAATTAGTAGACAGTTTTTACCAGTAAAATGTATAGCAAAATTTCGAAGAACTCTCAGAAAGTTCTTACACGACTTTCAGGGTAAATTATAAAAGAAAACCCTCCCCGTGTAACATTACGTAGCAGCGATACCAAGGATTCTTGTTCAAATAAGCGTTATATAACCGGAAGGCTATATGCGCTTTGGAAAAACAAAGTTTATCCAGGACCAACATTCAGCTGGCTGGATTTCGATCATCTTTGCGCGCGAGCCAGCGCGCCGACTAATGTTTATTCTGGTAATGGTGTCTCGTACAGAGAAGCGCGATTCATAAGCGGAGGAAGAGTTGTTACTCAAGGTCGTCAGAGACGTCACAAGCACTGCGAGGCTTCTCTACGTTGAAGTTTCTTTGACCTGTCGCGAAAGAGTGCCTTACCACGGTTGCACAAAGGCAGGACAATACGCGCCCCCGGACTTTATACAAACGTAGAAACTTTACATTATGGGAAAACTAGCTGTTGTGACAACATTCAGCGCTAGCGTAATAACTCGCGTAGTGGACGTCGACGCGCGCGACAGCGTGAATTTTGCTCCGAGTCGCCGATTGCGCGTTATCGGTATTAAACGTATTCTTTCATTTCGCTCGACGTCTAATGCCGTGAGGTTATCGGCTGGTGCATGAGCAGGGAGATAACCACTCGATGTAATCGCGGGACTCCGAAATCACGATGAAATCCTTACGAAATCCCCGTGTAATCGTTTTGTCTTAACTTTCAAGTTTCTCCGCTTGTTAGAAAATTAACATTAAATTTGAACGTTTTCTCAGCTCTGATTTTCCACAAAAATTAACTTCTTTTAGTAAATATCCAAATATATATCATAGTTCACACCCATGAGCGCGTATTCTTTTCAAAATAAGACCGAAGTAGTTGCTGTTAGAACAACAGCGAGTTGAAACGTTGACACACCTTTGCGCGCAATTTTGGAACAATAAACAGTGGATACAAATACAAAATTACTTCTCGTTGAGACCACGGTCAGACTAGTGGGAAAAGTGGGATGCAAGGAAACGCGTGGCCGAATACTAGAATCCTAACCGAAGCTCTACAAGCAAATATTTCTTGGTAAAATAAGAAAAATAAATTTTGAGGAAATCTAACGGCTCTTCGAGGTTTAACAACGTTACGTATTTTTAAACGTGCATATAAGAAAATTATTCGCAATTAGATGAGACTATTTGTAATCGGATGAAATCGTATGAAATCAAACGAAATCGTGTAATCGGTGGGACAAGAATTTAGCCAGTGGTTACCCCCTTGTGCATGAGACTCAGACGTTGCACAATCTCCAATTTATGCCGGTGACGAGACTCTAGCCCATCGGATCGGCGCATCTCCAAGACGTTGGTGTGTAAACGAATAGTTCTACGTTTTTGTAACGACCGTTGGCGATCGATTCGCTCGTAAAACCAAATGATTGAGAACCCTTCGAGCCGACACTTCCTAGGCAGAGTGCGCGTTTTTGCGCTAATCGATTTTGAATTTTGCACACGAAAAAGAAGCACGTTGCTGGGTGAAGAAAAGAATTCGTTATCGGGAGGACACGCTCTTCGTAATAACGACGATCCCGTAAAAAAGGTCATCTTTGGCACAGACGTGTTAAATTTCAATGACATAAAAAAGATCACACAGCGACTTTTCTTAATTATAATGGATTGACGTCTTGAAGGGTACCTCGTGTATGGATATAATCTTTTTAATTCCAATATTTATTAAATTAAATATAACATTTTGAAATAATTAGAAACCGTTTATCGATTTAATACGCGAATTTACTGGCGAGAACACGGAAAGAAAAATGTAGCTGCCGTAGCTAAAAACTGCATGTGGCGACTGAATTCCAGTTGCAAAATATGGACAGCTAATATTTAGTTGTGATGGCTAAATATTTTTCTCTGTGCCTATTGTGTTAGGTGCGACAGCAAACCGTTTGCTGTGCGTCAGAAATTTATGGTCACGGCAGCGAAATACTTTTAGCAAGCCATGATTGGCTGCGGTAGCGAACATTTTTTCTTCAGTGAATGGTTCTAAAAATGATACTGTGTTATGTCCGAAAAGAAACCAGCGCGCAGGACAAGGTGGAAAACGGTATGTGGATTCACATTTTAGATTACAATTATTGGGCTACCAACATCTTGCTCGGACCTAACGGCGCTCTCATTTGTTTGATTTATACAAGTATATCATATAACGGTCCTATTTAACTCTATTTGTATAAAATTAAAGCTTTTCTTGGTTAACAAATTAGAGAGAGATTGCATATACTAATTTCAGATCAATTTTGAAAATTTTTAAGCGAGGTAAAGAAATCTGTCTCTATACTATTGTATATACATATATATATACACAATATACTTATGATATTTGTGCGATGCAAGATGAAACATTGTGGACTTCTTTCTTCTCAAAGTTATGGGACAATAAGAATTGAAGAGAAACTTTTCTTCTCGCAATACTTGGAAAAATCTTTCTCGTATTTGATATAAGATAATATGATATATTTTTATGATACACATTCATAGTAAAAAGTTAAGTGTGTTACAAACACTAACGAGAGAAGTTTAGATCACCTCGATAAATGTTCAATGTATATGCCTAGAAAAGCAGGTACGTAATCAGCTGAAGTCAGATTTCTGTTGCAAGTTTCCAACGAATTTCGGATGCTTGTTTGATTGATTTACGCCACTCAAAAATTAATGTTTCCCGTATCCGCATTGATTAACCTAATTGTATTTCTGTGCACGAAAAAATGCGAGAGCGGCGTCATTTATGATATTTTGATGAGCTGCATATTCATATTCGCCGACACGATATACAATACATAAAAGACACGACGCCTATTTAGAAGAAGGTGCCCATGCGAATGGTATCAATCGTAATTGTTATTCCACGTTCTAAAGGATTCACGCGTTATTATGTTTTAAAACGCACGTGCCGTCTACATGATTTATCGAATGCATACGTAACTTTCATTGATGCTGAAATAATGTTTTTTTTAAATCTTATAATACATAATAAATAACGGAATAATTTTTAGACACAATAATACATAATATACGATAAAAAGTGCGCGATGAATAATGAAGTAGCTTCGAAACGTCCAAGTTAAATTTAAAATAAGTTTAACGGGCAGACGCCCGCAATCCGGAAATACGTAATCCGCTTCTTCGAAGTTGAGACGGGGAATCTGTTTTACCTTTACTCGTCTCCCTCCGGTGTCGTTTACGCCGACACTCGGGAAGGCTTAACTGAAATTTATCTTTTATTCCTGCATGCCAATGATCGTTTGTCACGGAAAATAAGAATGCAAGACTTTGACGAGAGCGGCATCGACGCGACGTCGATCGATCGCGACTGTTGCCCCTTAATTTCATAGACTCCGTATTATCATTTCCGTTTCCAGTGTCGCTTACATTTCGAGGTACGGAAATGCGCTCCTGTCAATCACGTGGAATGCCGTGAGTGTGAAATATATCTCTCTTACTGACACTGACTGGCGATTATTAGAAGACCGCAGCCCGCGCGATAACTGCATAATTGCATCCGACTGACAAATGATTGAAGCATTCCCGAAATTGCCCGCGTTAGATTTATTGCAGCGGCACGACGACGTGCCATCTAAGCGGTTCTTAGGCCCGGTTTTTCATTTTCTGGTCAACTGTTAGCCACCCACTCTGGGGGGGAAAAAAGGCAGCAACCCATTTTGGGGTCCACAATTAGTGATCGAATTATTTGGATTGTTCGTAACCCTTTTACGAATTTTACCCCGCGTAACTAAAAATCGTAATTAGCTATTCTGTCTACAATTGGTTCTGTCGATGTTCAGTAACGCAAAGATACTAATTTTCACTTAAGAGACACTAACCGAAATGTTAAGTCGCTTAACTACAAAAAAACCGGTCAAAATTTTTCCCAGGGTTACGAACAATCCAAATAATTCGATTACTAATTGTAGGCTCCAAATGGGTTGCTGTCTCCTTTTCCCCAGAGCAG